TTGGCATACCCACCGAGAAACCATTTGATAAGTTCTATTCATGTGTCTATGAGATTATCAGCGTATAGAGTAGTATAATAGTCCTCCGACTTAAGGTCAATACGTACTACATGTGCGGAGTGATGTACTTTGATCATGATCAATGTAACACCCTGGCCCTGTAGGACCCGAGGTAGTTACTCCTTCACACCCTCCGGACATCTAGTACTGTCCTCACAAACCGCCACTAGCCTTTTCCGTGCACTGTGACCTCACTCGTGCGTGCCCTGAGAAACTTCCTTGGGGGTCACCCATCCTATGACTACTCCCATGCAAGCACGCTTAACTGTGAAGTTCTTAGCTGATGAGCTCCCTTAAAAGGAGATGTACCTTGTTGGTATGAGTAGTACTATTAATCCGTTTAAATTAAATCTCAAGTGTTACAATCACCCCCACTTAGGAACGCAACGTCCTCGTTGCGTCCATAAACCAATCTCAATCAAATCCCAGAATCTTTTCCCCTGCTACGTGCCGACCCGATATCCAACGGATCAGCACACTGTCGCAGGGTTGCTTTGATACCACCTATAACACCCCGGCCCCGTAGGACCTGAGGTAGTCACTCCTTCACACCCTCCGAACATCTAGTACTGTCCTCACAAACCGCCACTAGCCTTTTCCGTGCACTTTGTCCTCACTCGTGCGCGCCCTGAGAAACTTCCCAGGGGGTCACCCATCCCAAGACTACTCCCGTGCAAGCACGCTTAACTGTGAAGTTCTTAGCTGATGAGCTCCCTTAAAAGGAGATGCACCTTGTTGGTATGAGTAGTACTATTAGTCCATTTAAATTAAATCTCAAGTGTTACAATCAACGCTTGCACTCCAATCGGGGTAGATACGACATGCGTTGGGTGCATCACGAAGCACATGGAGTAGTAGTTGAGCCAAGAAAGAATTCATTCCTCATAATAGATTAAGAGAGAACATTCTACTTCTCATATCTAGATGGATCATAAAGTCATTGGCCAATGCAAAGATATATTCGTTTTGGATATCGAATATAATCATTATGGATCATCTAGAAAGATTGAGAGATAGAGACTAAGTTATTGGAATAGACACAATATCAAGTTCTAGACTTAGTTAAATGTTCGCTGAATGAAAGGACCGTATCACTATGAGCTCTATATTACAGGGAGTTTGAATAGTCCTCGCAAACGTCCTTATATATTAAGTTTATCTGGGAAATCGTCTAGGGATTATACTAAGACCTTAATTTGATTAGTGCTTAATATACAAGGCCCTATGGGTTACACAACAAGTGATTATACCTTCCGATTGAATTGTTAGAATGAATTAAATATTATTAATTGGATTGAATAATATTTAATTCATAATACTGAAAATGGATTAAATATTAATTAGATTAGACATATTTAATTCATGAAGTTGAAGGAGAGTTCTATTTGATAGAATTAATTAAGTAAGATAAATTAGATTTATCATACTTAAATAAGATGTATTTATTATTAAATAAAGTAGATATTTTCTTTTGTAATTTGGAATTAAAAGAAAAGTAAATAAAATAAATATTACTCCCTCCGGTCCTTAATGAAGTTTAAACTTTGACTTCACACATATTAAGGAAATAAATTTGACTTTACTGTAGAGTACACTGTTTGGCACTGTCTGACACTGTTTGACACTGTTTTGCACTGTTTGGTGTAGATTTGTTTGCCAAATAAGGCGAATAAGGAAGTGTAAAGTTTAATATGGGACGGCCCAAAAAGGAAAGTGTAAAGTTAATCAAGGACTGGAGGGAGTAATCTATAATAATTAGAAATCTACTTATTTAATTAATTAGGAGTATTGGTCATAACAGGATTACAACTCATTAATGAGCAAGACTTTCATTGTGATTGGGAAACTAGTTTAGAACTAGTATAAATACATCCTCCTTCTTTATAATTCATGAGACCAGTTTTCAGATTCAGTATTACCAGTTTATTTCCCTGCGAAGAGATTTCATAGCCTTTCTCTTAGGGAGATCTAACCGTTCTTTCGGAAAGGAAAAATCGCGTGGATACCTGAGGTCAAGGATTATCACCACTAGGCTGGAAGATCTGTAAGTTCTAACTCAGATCTTTTATTATTGTAATATATTCGTTGTTTTGTCATAATCAGGGAAGATTTGTTTGAGAAAATTTTAAACTTCCGCTGTTGTACTTTCGAGGTACGTTACGTCAATTTCCTAACAGTCACATGAGCAAAAACACTAGAGTAGGATATCAAACAGTAAGGAGTGACCGGATTCACAAGCGGAGACAACTAAAGAAGGAGCTTGAGATTGCAGGAAGCGAGACGGACATGAAACAACATAGTGACCTAGGTAATGACAAATTTGACAGACTACTTGAGAAAGAACAAAATCAAAACTATTCTCAAAAGATGGAAAAGCTACAAAAACATCATTAGTAGCGGAAGCAGACAATGCACGACTATAAGACAATGACACAATAAAATTACATAAAATTGTACCCAATTTTTCCATATAGGAATGTGGTGGTGGTCTGCCGCTATATGTGTCGTAGGGTGGCTGTTGAGGATGGTGGTCGTAGTAACCAACACTTGACTGCTGGGGATGGTCATGGGTGCAACCGCATCCACAACTGCCACACGCTCTCTGTCAGTGACGACCACCTCTATCTCGCAGGCCGTACTATTGGTACTGGGGAACGCCACTGCGAGAGGCCGAGGGTACCCGTCCGGCGGTGAATGGTGCGGCAAAGGCTAGTGCCCCAACCGTGGAATTCTGACTTCGTAAAAAGAGCCGCCTTTGTTCTTGCATAGACCAATTTGGTGCGTAAGGAGTCAAACCCGAGACCATCCGAAAACGTGAAACCAATTTGATACACACTCCAATTTGGTGTTTATAGAGCAAGTTGGGCATACATGTGTTTTTATGGAGTGTGTATTATAAACTAAAATACTATTTTTAATATATAAAGATTGTTAATATATGTTATTATGGTCATTGAAATTCATAGTATTTTAAGATTTGAAATACATAGAAATTTATAAGCTACATAAGTAACGTATTATTAGACATTCAAAGTAAAACTAACGTGCTATTAGATTTTTAGTGATTATTTGGGGAAGAAATTAATATTTTATTAAAAGGATTTGTCATTTTTTATTTCCAACTTCTTGGACTTGATTTTTTCTTAAATGGCATATACGGAGTAGTAAATAGGCTTCAGCCAGGCTAAGTTAATAAGTTTTCAAATAGGCTAGACTAGGTCGGAAAAAAAACAGGTTACAGATCAGGCTTTGCCCTAACCATTCTAAAATAAGTTCGACCCGTTTAGGCAAAAACCTAATATGACCTAGCTTGTTTCCCCCCTATGCACATTGCACAATATACCAACTGTTTTTGTTTTGGGAAAACTGTCAATTGCGCCCTCCTACTATGCGCGATCCGTCAATGAAGTCCCCGTACTTTGGAAACCTTCAATTGAACCCGCCAACAATGAAAATCCTGTCAATTAGGTCTACATAACCGGATGCTTCCCGGTTAGCCCGTTGCTCGCTCACGTGGACATCGTACATTGAGGGTTCTGTTGCTGACATGGATTAAAAATTTCCACAACAGTTTTCCCTTTCCTTTTTCAATTTTCTTTTCTCTCTTCCTACTTTCTCTTTTTTTCTCTCTCTTTCTTCTTTCCTCCAGGTCCGCTACTCTTCACCTTTAATTTCCCAGTCCTCAGCTCCCCCCTTGTTCGTTTCTTTCTTTCGATGCTTTTAATTTTTCTTTCCCTTTTCTATTTCTCCTGTGCATCTGCAACTCCATCTCCTCACTTCCCTCCTGCACAGACTACAGATCTATGGTGGAGGTGGTGGTGGTAGCTATGGAGGCTGGGTGGTTGGAGATCGTTCCAACTTCCAATAGAAAAGATGAAGGTGGAGACCATGGAGGTGGAAGCCGGATCGAGGCGGTTGGTATGGTGGTTGCTACGGAAGTCGGCGCGGCTGGAGTTCGTTTCAATGGAGGAGACGAAGGGACGGAGGTGGTGGTCGGAGGACGTTTGTATGGCGGAAGGGGTGGTTGAGGTGAAGGTAGAGGCCGGACTCCGGAGGCGGCGGCTATGGAAGCTGGCCGGCAGAGGTAATGGCTAGAGAGGCTGGTAGCTATGACTACATCACGGCAGAGGCCAAGTGATGTGGAAATTTTTAATCCATGTCAGCAACGGAACCCTCAATGTACGATGTCCACGTGAGCGAGCAACGGGCTAACCGGGAAGCATCCGGTTATGTAGACCTAATTGACAGGATTTTCATTGTTGGCGGGTTCAATTGAAGGTTTCCAAAGTACGAGGACTCCATTGACGGATCGCGCATAGTAGGAGGGCGCAATTGACAGTTTTCCCTTTTGTTTTTGTTTTTAAATGAGGGCAATTTTGTCATTTCCACTATTTTTCGTGAATACGGTCGTTCAAGTCTTTTCCATTCAAGCTTTATCCAAATAGAAATTACTCCAAATAGGACTAAGATTATGTCAAAAACTCAAAATAGGACTTACTATATATTTCTTTTTAAAATAGGACCATATTAGTCCTATCGGAAACATACCTATTTTTTCATTCCATTTTTATCCTTCCTTTAAAGATGAGTTAATTAAATGTTTAATTCATAATAAATTCGAAAAAAAATCAAAAATTCGCAGAAAAATAAATAAAAAATTTGTAATATATTTATAAAATAAAAAATTAATTTTTTTTAATTGTTTATTTTTTGAAAACTAATAAGAAATAGTAAAACTCCATTAAAAAATTAAAAAAAATATGGATGCCTTTCCCACCGCCTCTACTACCTCCTTGCACCATCATCTCCGTCCGGTGAAAAAAATCAATTTTCCCCAAAAGTTGCCATTTTTTTCTGAAAATGCCAAAACGATGACACATTTCTGGTTGAGAATGACAACATTTTCATTTTTTTGTGACATAATTAAATGTGTGCAGGCATGTATGTACTATCCCGGGCAGCATGAATTGAAGTAAATTTATGCATGCATACGCGGCTCGTACGTCTTCGATCTTAAGATGTTATAACTACACTAAACGTACTCAACCGACGGCCCGGCACCATTATCTACCTTACTACGTATATATTTACACCTATCTGATCTATATCATATCGATCGATCATAGCCGGCCATAATGGGATCGCTGAAACTAAAACCGGACAGCCTGCGGCACGAGGACCTGAAGGTCACAGTCCTCGACTCCGGTCTCATCTTTCCGCCGGAAGAAACCGAGAAACGGTCCATGTTCTTGTCCAACATAGACATAGTCCTCACTTTCGACGTACAGACCGTTCACTTCTTCTCGGCGAACCCGGACTTCGCGCCGGAGATGGCAGCCGAGGTGATCAAGAATGCGCTGCGGAGGCTGCTGGTCCCTTACGACCTCTTGGCCGGAAGGCTTACGAAGAACGCAGACTCGGGTCGGCTGGAGATCGACTGCAACGGCGGTGGCGCCGGCTTTGTGCGGGCTTCAAGCGAGTTTGCGCTCCAGGATGTCGGCGACTTGGTGTATCCCAACCCTGCTTTCCGCCAACTCGTCACGTCCACCTTCGATTTCTTGGGGAAACACGATCAACCGCTCTGCATCGTTCAGGTACGTATACCTCACTACGTACGTACGTACACGCCCTTGAGACCGAGACTAGATCAGATCACACTTGTATAGTTATAAAAATATAAAAAACAGGTCACACCAGACCATACCAGTTCAGACCAGACCAGACCAGATCAGACTAGACCAAATCAGCAAATTACAGTTCAAGTAAAAACATCCTAATACGATAGTACCCCCTCTCTTCCAATTTGATAGTCTCATATCTTTTGGGCACAAGTTTTAATAAAGTGGTTGAAAAGGTAAAAGTTGTGGTTGAGATTTGAGTATAATATTGTTAAATGATATGGACCACATCTTTCTTTGCAAAAAGGGAAACAAGACCATCATTTTGGGACATCCCAAAAAGGAAATACAGGACTATCATTTTGGAACGGAAGGAGTACTAATTTAGTGCCCAGTCAAAAATGACAGGTTAGAGAAGTCGCAGCTTACAAAATATATACTCCATATCAATATATCATGGTAGTGCTTAAAATTTCACTATATGTTTTACTACTTATAAATATATATATATATATATATATATATATATATATATATATATATATATATATATATATATATATATATCAGAAATTTTTTCTTGTCCACCCCGAATACTACAATATAACAATTGCTAAATACTTTACACTTTCCTTTTTGGAACATTCTATTTAAATATTTACAATTTCTTTTTGACAACTCCTTTTACAATAATTTTCCTAACTACCCTTTACCGTTCACCCACTTTTTACATTTACTTGGATATCATTAATTACCCCAAAAAGTCAAACGGTATGAAATATGTTTGTTCTTCTATTAATCAGTCTCCTAAAACACCGTACCAAAAAGAAACGTCAAAATTTAGCCTGGACATAAGGAGTATCAATTTCTGCCAATTTTAAAATTCCGCAAACATTGATTTTCTAGCTAGGGATCAAACTAACTTTTAACTAATGAGTTATGGATTTTTTCAAAGAGAAAATTTTCTAAATAAGAGTAAAAATGTTTTGAAATTTCATAATAACCAGGACTGTCATGTTTTTATTCCCCAAATACATAGATGTAATTTATGTCAAATTTTACATTTCCAGACTTTAAGCATTACTGTTTTTTACAAACTTGATAGAAATCATTCATATTTAGGAAATAAAAATAAGACGGTTCTATTTTGGAATTTCAAATCGGTTTTACAGGCATAGAGCTATCAGGGGTAGTGACAGCCCATTACCTACACGTACCTTTTGGTTGGAAGGGGTTAAGTTATACCTTGAGCATAAAAAGATTTTCACGTACTTATAACCATTAAAAAAGATTCATATCAATCTTTTAATCAACACATACAACCAAAAATTACTCCATATAAAATTGATCTCAATTCTAACCAAAGAGTAGCAGCAACATGCATATGGTTAAACTCCTCTCCATTTTTTTCTCCCCATTTCTCCTCCATTTCTATTTTACTTGTTATCTATATCTACCTTATCTCTATCCTACTCACCAACCTAGCTACCTCACCCTTAATTTTCTCCTCTCTATATCTCTCCTAATTTTCTCCTCTCTATATCGTTACTGGAGAGGATCCAAATTCGCATGCATATTGCATGATACAATGGCATGTTTATACGAAAAACTATGTTATTCATACGAGTCAAATATAATAGAGTACAGTAACGACCGTGCCAGGTAGTTCTGACAGAGAGTATCAGCCGAATTTGTCTATTTGAGGTGCCCCGATAGATTTTTTTTATAAAATTTTGTGAGCATGTTCATCACATAGGTTATGTCCACAAAATTTTAACTTAAAATTCAATAGATAAAACGGTTAAATAAATTATTGAAAAACAATGCGCCAAAATGTATATAAAAAACGTGGTGTTTCTCAATAATTTATTGAACTAAATTATCGATTAAATTTTAAGCTAAAATTTTGTAAATATAATCTATACTTTAGGAAATACATGCTCATAAAATTTCATCAAAATATTTTATAAGAAGTAACCTCAAATACACACGTTGGGACGATGGTTGCCGTGAGAACTACGTGATCTTTTTCCATTTTGAATAATTTACATGTATAAAAAGTTTAGTAGGAAAAAGGGGTATGTAGGGATCGATCGAGATCGTTTTAGGTGTTGACAAGTTGCACCATTATTGATACTCTCCCACTCTCGTTAAGATTGTCTCATTTTATCTTTTCGGGAAATCCCATTAAGATGGTCTCATACCAAATTTGATAAAATTTGTGTGATTCCAAATCATTTTTATTCTCACTTTATTAATTCATTATCAACCATATAAACTAACTTTTCTTAATAATCGTGTCACTTCCTACCGTCCAATGTTAGTGAGACGGAGATAGTATTATTACTACATTAACTAATTAATTAATTGATTGATATTCCCTTATCAACTCATGAACCGACTGCTCAACAACTCAGGAGTAAAATCTATTGCGGTGCCCATATTTTCGGTGCAACAAAATTTGATGCTCTACATTAAGGAGCAATTTAATTCTCCGTACTCTCCTGCTACACTACATTTTTATTATATTACGTCACCCACCCTCAATGCATCTTGTAATTTGTACGTAGTAATTAATCAAATATGTGCAAATTCTTGAGTGTCGTTCCTCAACCATGTTTGATGTACGCGCCCTTATACTCATCTTATACATACAATGTTTGTGAAGCTTTTTTGTGTGCAAAATATTGTCTGTGAATTGATGTTCACAGACAAAAATAATTTTCATAAATATAGGTGGGTACAAAAGTGGATATAAGAGTAGGTACAAACATCATTTTTGGTCATTACTATACCTTAATGCCTCACCAGACGCGTATACCGTACATCCCGCCGGTAGCATTTTCATAAATCAAGTGAAAATCGTACTCTCCATTATATGAGCATTATTGTACTTTAGTAAGTATTAGATCTATTCTAGTGATTATTGAGAGTGTAATAATGAGAATCGTGATATCGACGTCATATCTTATAATTTACTTTGTTTTTCTTAATTTTTAAAACATCTACAATACACTTGTATGAATCCAATGTAATATATTTTACTTTTGAAAGAAGAATGAACATGACATTTTAAAATGAGTACTATACTAATATCAAATGAGCAAACATAAATTACGAAATGAACATAAAATATTAAAAAAAACTCATTTGAAATCTCTACGACGCTCAACATTTCATTTGAGTATGCTCATATCACTAAAACTACATATATACATAGATATATACATACATAGGGAGTGGTTCCAGTGAGAAAGGACTCTCAGGAGAAATATGAGAATAAATCTGGACCGTTGGATCGGAAGAAATTGAATTGTGCATTGAGTGAAACTTAAATGTGCATTAGGTGAAATTGAAATGTGCAGAATAAAAAGTAAAACTTAAATGTGCATTGAATTAAATTAAAATATGCATAATAAAAGGTATAAAAATGTCAACACTTCGTGCTATTTATTATGCACATTTTAGTTTTACCTAATGCACAATTAAGTTTCATACATAGTGCCACTGTATTGTACATTTTGTGCTAGCTGCACATTTCAATTTCACTTAATGCACATTTCAGTTTCACGTAATGCACATTCAATTTCACATCTTATAATCCAACGGTCAAGATTCATTCTCATTTCTCTCACAAGATCATTTTCTCATTTGAACCCAATTCTACACACACACACACACAATGAAAATCGTTGTACACCACCGTAGACTAGCAGAAAATCGACATCTCTAAAGCTGAGGTCCGTCACTCGTCGCCTGTGGCTACAATCGCTCGCCAATTGCAGGAGCTCACTGGTCCGCCGCTCATTAGTTGTCGCTAGAAGTTGCTCGCGACTTGTCCAGGCATAACTCGTCTCGCCACCTGGATCTATGCTCGCCACCGAAGGTTGCTGCTAGTTGCTCCTAGCTGGAGGTCGTCCGTCATCGTTGTAGTTCGTTGTTGATGGGAGCTCGTCGTTTTCTGTCGTCACCTTTGCCCGACCGATTAATATACTCCATTCGTCTTTAAAACTTTGTCATGTTTGACCAACACGAAGAATATTAAACTAAAAACTATGTGATTGAAGTTTGTGTAGAGAAGAGAGAAATAACAGGAAACATAAATTAGTTGATTAAAAGGAAAAGTGACAAACGTTTTTGGGACATCTCAAAGAAGAAACATGATAAAGTTTTAAGGGACAGATGTAGTATAATGGAGTAATTAAAAACAATCAAATAATAATGACTAAATTTCCTAACTAGGAGAAAAACATAACAAAAGTTCTCCAAAGGTAGGGATCCAAACTTCCGTGTAGTTTCATAAAAGTAAAAGGGAAAATGTACAAATATATCTCTGTAGTTTGAGTCTGAGAACAAGTATATTCTTGTTCTATTTTCCAGAACAAATATACCACTGAAGTATATGAAAAGTGCATAGATACCTTTGGAATTTTAATAGGTGCAAAACTACCCCTCATATTATTCTAAAAGAGTAAATTTACCCTTATTGACTTTAAATTAATAAAATCAATTTCAAAAAATACCAAAAATAAATTATAAAATCGAAATTAAAAATTAAAAATTTCAAAAATGCACTTGTGTCCAAGTCTCCCTTTTATTGTGTGCATATCACAATTTAATATTGTTAGTACTTCGTATAAAATATTATTTCAAAACATTACCATATAAATGTAAAAAAATTAGGGAGAATTTGACTTTGCACCCCATGTTTAGGGTGATATTTGACTTTGTATCATGTTATTAAAATCATTAATGTATACACCCCACCAACCCAAAAATTGTGAAGGAGTGTGATGCAATGTCAAATGATTTTATTCTAAATTGGGGTGCATACATTAATGATTTTGAAAATAGGGTGCAAGCTCAAATATCACCTAAAACATGGGGTGCAAAGTCAAATTCTCCCTAAAAATTACTATTTTTTAAAACATTTTAATATGTTAACTTTACAATTTAATATTGTAAAGCAATGTAAA